ATTGGCTTAATAAGACTTCAGCAAAATGATTTAAACTTGAAGCTCATTTCTACCCTCTCATGCCAACTGGATTGTGATGTTACAGTAGGAGGATGTTTTCCTCCTTATTCCCACTTTCTAATACAGTACACTGACAATCAATCAAGTAGTTAATATAGTCAGCAAACATTTTCGGAAAGTCTACTATGTAAAGATCATTGTTCTAGGTACTTCAGATACACAGTGAGTAAAACAAGAAAACATCTCTTTGTCAAGTGTCCACTCCAGAGGGTGGAGAAAAACAGTGAAGAACTGTTATTCATTTGGAATTATGACTTGGCGTTTTCAAAAACTCTCTGGAAAATAAGGATCACAGAAGGAATTGGGAATATTGCCTGGGACACTGTTGTGGTATCACACAGAGTGAGGGGAGAATGTTAGCAGATAATGCAATGCCACAGTAAAAGAGGCCAGAGAGAGTCACCTTGATGCACAAGGCGATGCATTTCACAAAACAAGAAAAGCAAGTCTGTTTGTGAGGAAGTGGGATACCAGGATATTGAAGGAAAGTAGGGATCCAAACCCAAAGATTAACAACTCCTTCAGCACTTCCCTAAGCACCATATATACTAAAATTAGAATGACAAAGGGAAAGTTGCAGGGAAAATGTAAGGGTGACTCCAAAAATCCTAAAGCATTGCATTAAAAGATGCATAGCTGATTCACTGTTACACTGATGGCTAGTGTTGTTGTCAGTCGTGGTCTCTGGACTCCTAGAGCCTCACTATGCTCATTCACTCTTCAAGAAGACAGTAAATAACTGATGCTGGGCCTTTCTTTCCACATCATACATACACACACATACACATACACACACACACACACACACACACACACACACACACACACACCTTTTATTTATTCTCACTTAATCCTTTGAATTTTGTTCCTAGGCTCCTGTTGAGCAGCTGGATTCTATGACCTTTAAGGACAAACATCAATATGACTTGTGAGCTTCAGGGAATTTGGGTTTCTGCTAGACTCAGAATCCAACAATAGTTTTCATAGTCAATAGTCACCATCCGTTTGGGTAGTGTTTCATTCTCCCTAGCAAAGAGAAGTCCTAGGGGAAATGAAACCAAACAGATAAATGTGTGTGTGTTCATGCTCTTGTTACAAACTTAAAAATCTAAGGCTCATCATGCAAGGACACAGGAAATCCAAAGTGCACAGTTTCGTCAGTTATTACAATAACAGTATATGTCCTTTTCCTTCTCTCTGATTCTTCTTGGGAGTTTTGCTTCCTCTGATCCTTACATTCAAATGCAAGTATGTGTGGACCTATGTGACCTTGTTAGCAGGAAAATCAATTGTCCATGTTCAACTAGAGTTTCTTGTCATTAGAATTCACTAACACAAGTTCATGCTCATGAGCACACTTAAACAAATGCTTTAAATGATGCAGCACAAGCAGAAAAAATCCTGTGCATGGCTAGTCTGTTCCTGTGTTTTTCATAGTTTTGGTTTCATACAGCTGTTATGGAAGATGCTGCCACTAGGGAAAACTAGGTGAACAGGAGATGCAAGCTTAACGTTAGCTCTTAAAACAACATGTGGCTCTCCAACTACCTTCAAATAAATAGCCAAACAAGAATTCAGGTCAAATTTCATTCATTGTCACCACCCCACTCCCTAGGACTACCCAAGTGTGCATACAGAAAGTACCATCTTGGGTCCACTGAACCTTGAACACTTTAAGAGTAGCATAGAGTACTCACTCGTGTATAGATATTAGAAACAGCCAGGAATTTCTGCCTACAATCCATACCTCCAGAGAAGCTAGGAAATGAGGAGGACCCTAAGAGACACATACAGGTGCCTCAGAGAAGGGAAAAGAGACAAGATCTCCTGAGCAAATTGGGGACACTGGGGGAGGGGAAATGGAATTAGGAGAAAGAGAAAGTGAGAAGAGGAGGGGGAGGAAGACATGAAAGATTAGGAAGACTGAGTTGGGGAAGAATAGAGGAGAGCAAGAAAAGAGATACCTTAATAGAGGGAGCCATTATAGGTTTAAAGAGAAAGCTGGCACTAGAGAAATGTCCAGAGATCCAGAAGGATGACCCCAACTAAGAATCTAAGCAATAGTGGAGAGGCTGTCTTAAATGCCCTTCCCCTATAGTGAGATTGATGACTACCTTATATGCTATCCTAGAGCCTTTATCTAGTAGCTGATGGAAGCAAAAGCAGACACTCACAGCTAAACACTGAGCCAAACTCCTGGAGTCCAATTGCAGAGAGAGAGAGGAGTGATAAGCAAAGGGGTCAAAACCATGCTGGGGAAACCCACAGAAACAGCTGACATGAAAAGGGGGAGCTCATGCACCCCTGTCTGATAGCTTGGAGGCCAGCATATGAGAGAACCAGGCCTCCTGAACATGGGTGTCAATTAGGAGGCCTGGGCAGTCCATAGAGACTCTTGTAATGGAACAGCACTTATCCCTAGTGTACGAATGGACACTGGGAGCCTGTTTCTCATAGAGGGATACTCTCTCAGCCTAGCTATATGAGGGAGGGTCTAGACCCTGCCCCAAATGTGACAGACTTTGATGATCCCCCATGGAAGGCCTCACCCATTCTGTGGAGCAAAGAAGAATGGGATAGGGGCCAATGGGGGGCATGGGAGGATGGGAGGGAGAGGGAACTGGGATTGATACATAAAATAAGGTTGTTTCTAATTTAATTTAAAAAATATTTTTTGTTGAAAAGACAAGTAGCATAGCACCAAGCAGTGGTGGCATGCACCTTTAATCCTGCATGCACCTTTCTTCCCAGCACTTAGGAGACAGAGGCAGGCAGATCTCTTTGAGTTCGAGGCCAGCCTGGTCTACAGAACGAGTTCCAGGATAGGCTCCAAAGCTACAGAGAAACCCTGTCTTAAACACCAAAAACCGAACAACACGAGTGGCATAGAGAAGTCATAGGAGTAAGTGGATGATATGCCTGGAGACAAAAGGAGTAACAAGCATTGTTTTCCCATCAACAGACATGCAGCAGCGTGCTCTCAGCGTCACTGTGCCTCTAGCTTGCACATCCATTCAGCAGCTGTGCCTTTAGCCAGCCACCTGCTGCAGAGTCATATGCTATCAGAGAAGAATTGTTTAACCCTCGTATTGGTCCTTGTGTCCGTTTCTGAGGCTAACCCAAGCATGCTGCCCTTGTTTCCATTCCATCTCTTTTCTCATCATAAGGCCTCCCCTTCCTTCCCAGAAATTCTTAGGATCATTGACTTCACTGACGGAAGTCAGGCTTCTGACCGACTAATAAATAAGTTCACCAGTGAAAAGCCTATTTTTCATTCCGTTTAATTACAGGCTTCAAAGACACCCAAAATGGAGGCTGTCTTAGGCACAAATAATACTGTAGGCTTGGTTTACTTTCCTCCTGTTGGCATTGGCACTGAGCCCTTCCTCTGCTTTGAAATTCATGACTGTGTCTGTGTCTGCATACTAAACAGACCATGGCCACCACTGAGCCTGCTTCGTCTGTCCAGATGCAGCTCAAATAATCCAGAAGCCTTAATGGTCAGTTTAGAGCTGGAGTTTAGTTAACTAATATGGTCCATTTGTTTCCAGGGTAATCTGTGTAAGTGATCATAAACCGTTTCCTATGTAGTAATTTGAATTGAACTTGGTAAAACTTTAGTTTTACCAAGGCTGTAATATGTTTCTGAATTCTAGATACCTGACTTCAAATTTGTCCCTTTGAATATGAAGGCATAAAACATCTGAATGGCATTTAGACACAGCATAATGTACACATAGCAAACGGACAAAGTACTAACAGGGAAAAGTTGTCCTTCCACACTTCTTTTCTTAGTTTCCCATGCTCTTTTACAATCACTTTCTAACAATGCCTTCCACATTCTGTGTGCATAAAAGCATATGCCAGGTTTTATATAGAAAAATGCTCTGTGACTTCCTTTCTGTATATATGTTAAAACAAAATATACCAAGATATAGGCAAAGTCCTAGCATTTGTTCCTTTTACTCAAAGATAGAACTTAACACCCTTTCTCCATCATTCTCCATTATTCCCTGTGTTCAGCCCCAGCATTTAAAAGTAAACTGTAAATTTCTGGAAATAGGCATCATAGCCTCCTACTATACTATTTTGTTGCAAGAATGGAGCCTTTTTTTTTTTTTTTTTTTTTTTTTTGTTAGGATGGAGCCTTTTTTATTTTTATTTTTTTTAGTTAGGATGGAGCCTTTTTGTACTTAATCGTGTTGATAGACATTTGAACAGCAATGCAAATTATTATAAACTGTATATAGGCTTAAATGGTTTAAAGATCTAGAACACATACTAGGAAAGTAAAGTCTTGGTCAAATGGTGCCTTCTAATTTAATAGATAATGCCCAATAATTACTTTCTAGCGTTTTTAATTATATATGAAATGATGTTTTTCATATATCTCACTCCTCACTCTATTTCCAAATTTTAAACCTGCTGATCTGATCACCGTAGACTGGAGGTTATGGCCAAAGCCAACTCAAAATGATCTGTAGGAAAATAAGAGCAAAGACGAGATTTGCAAAGCATAGAAAATTAAATCAATATTTCCAGGTATGAGATTCTATTTAAAAGAAGGAGGAGGAGGACAAGGAGGAGAAAGAAAAGGAGAGAGGGAAGGAGAGAGGGAGAGTGGGAAGGAAGGAGGGAGGGAGGAAGGGAGAGAAGTTGAGAGACAGAGTAGGGGGACCTCATAGGTTCCATGGAATAAAACATGTACTTGAATGTTGAAAGTTATTCAAACAGCCAGCTGCCTTTGCAGGTCAGCATTTAAAAGCTTTGACAAACAGTACCAGGGTTCTGACCTTAAACTCCTTGAGCTGTTAGTACATGTAAGCATGCACCTAACATTCCGTCCCTGGATGCCCTTTATTGGTCACATAGTCCATCATTAATGCATACTGCAGCAGGACACATAGAACAGAGCAGTTAACAAATTCTGAAACAATCAGAGTGAGCAACCCACTATACGCTGAGCAGATCATTCTTTTTAGAATGTCAAGATCCAGTCCTTTCCGTGTCACTTCCAAAATCCCAACAACAGGAAGCCTGTGTTTGCCGCTGTTCCAGGTAAACATCAATATTTCTGGGAGCTTTCTGAGGTTCTCTGAGGGTTTGATTTGCTGAGGATTTGTCCTTTGTGTAGCTGCTTCATGTAAAGGATTTCTTTCCTTTACTAGCAAACCGAGCTTTATATTATTTATTGCTCCAAAGACTGAAAAACACAACATTCATGACCTCAGTCTCACTTCTTCATTACTTAGCTGCGATTTTACAGAAATAAGTGATGCAGTGTATACTTTACTTCACTTTGCTGTGCTATGCTTTTCGATGTTTTTAAACTCAGAAGTGCTGTTGACACAGGCATACTGTGGCTATATTAATTTAGAAAATGTTTATCAATGTCTTAACTTGTGTTAGTTTTTCACTTCCAATTGCTGTAGATGAAACCATTTTAAGGTTTATGTGGTCACTCCGTGCCATCATCTCTTTCTAACCAATAATGGCATCATTGTATTTCTGTTACTTGAATGCAATGCATCTGAAAGACTTTGGTCTACAGCATATTAATTCCTACTTTCACTTTTTCATAACAGCTTGGGATCCTGACTGCTAATGCATTGGTAGTTCAATGGTAGTAATGGGATACCATGCACTCCAGCAAGGGTACAGCAGAATAAGAAGACTAGGAACTGACTAGAAAGGGAAATGCTGGCTTAATTTGTTTTATCTGTTAAGCTAGATCCCAAATGGTTGCATCTACTATAAACAATGTTTCTTTATAGACAGAATTTGAATGTTCATTTTCCTCTCAGTTAGTATGCAAATCTCTTTGCAGCATTCCAGCAAAAGAGAATGCAACTCATTTTCTGTGCTTATAAATTGTTCATTATCATGCTCTCTGATGGTCAACTCCTTGCTCCATCTGGCATAAATACTAGGTGCTGAAAAAGGCACATTTGGGACCAAGGGGGGGGGGATACACACATCTTATACAAAATCCAAAAGACTGTTACCTGAAATGGTGTATACTGTCTTACTTGTACGTATACTTATATATGATAGCCTGGAAAAGTAAATGTTTCAGCTGGCCTCACCAATCTCCAGGGCTGCACATGAATGGTGTTTGCAAAGTCTGCTCATTGGACAAAGGAGTCTTAATTCATAGAGTCAAAGTAACACACAAACAGTCTCCAGAAAGAACCACCACTTTATAGCTTCCAAGGTTCTACAATGAGAACTAAGAAAATTTTGTTAGATTGCCTAGAGTTGAGCCTTTCAAAGTTATTTCTCTTTTTCCTCTTTGATAAAGAGAAAATTTTATTTTGTGTTTTTCTCAGACATGGATATCATGTGACCATAAATTGACATTAGTGATTAAAGTCACCCATTTCATTTGTATATTTAACTTCCATCAATGCCAATAGGATGACTTCTGCTGCCCCTAACTGGGGAAAGTTTTTCCTTTGCATGAAAATAATACTCAAATTATGAACCTCCTACCTCCCACTAAAATATGAAAACCAAGAAATTCAAGAATCCCAGTGGCTCTCCAGATCAAGAAAAATCTACAGAGAAAACACAATACTGTTCAGATCCATCCCTTGTATACAGAGGAATTTCAGTGGATCTCTTGCTCTTGCTGAGTTCAAGAAACTACCCAGAGAATTTTTTTTTTTTTTTTGCAATTAAAATTCTGTGTACCAACAGTAAAATATGTTGCAAAGTTTTTAATTAAAAAAAAAAAAAAGAAAGAAAGAACGATGTAAAAATCACACTGTCTCCAGGCACTGCTTTCATTAAAGGATTAGACTGATGAAATGTTTGGATTTTATTGTTCTAAATATGTTTCAGCTGGTGCTCTCAGATCTATCCTGTGAAGAAAATGAAATGTAAGTAGACAACAAGATATTCCATGTTTTTATTTAGCATTTGAAAACTTCAAAGAATCTGACTCTATTCATTTGAAAAGCCCCAGAGGTACTCATGTAAATATATATATATATGTATGAATATATATACATATATATATCATATGAATTCTAAAACAACAGAAAATATTATTGTCATTATGATCACTTTGTTGAATAAATAAAGAGCTGTCTCCGGGGGTTTAGTCTCTCAGTTTCTCCCATCATGAAGTTCCTGTGGTTGTAAGGCCACCAAAGAATTATGATGTCCTCTTCCCTTGCCCCCACACACATAAGTATGCCAGTTCCAATGAACAGTTTCAAAACAGCTCATTTTCAAGTACAGCCAATGAACCCAAATCTTATCCAGTGTTATGTGTGCATTCCAAAGGGAATCAGATGCAAATTATGGGAATAATTGATTCATTTCCTTACTTTTTGAGACTTAATGGTTCTCAGAATTCTATTCAGGAGATGAGGCGGTGCCGTTAATAACGCTGATGATGATGAATGGGAACTGTAATGCAGCGTGACTGAGTGCAAATGTCAAAACAGCACTTCTGACAAGTGCTGCATTTTGGGTGCAGCACTCTGCCAGCCAGCTGTTTTCAATTATCATTGCCTCATACCCTCAAAGTCCTGTCTGTGGGCATGGCCTTCAAAGCAAGAGACTGGGCCAAGCGGCAGTTGTCCTTAGCTCTGGAATCATTCACTGGTGCAGATGATCTTGTTGACACTGTGTGTAGCTCTTTCTGCATTTGCATGCCCTTCCATTGCAGTTTCTTCACATTAATTTTTGGATCTACTGCTGTGTCTTCTGATGCTTGAGACTGAGCAGTTTTTTGTAGTGTTTACTTGACTCTAAACTTCAAGGCTATGTACATCTTGCCTCCTTATTGTCTGCCTTTGACCCAGAATGATAGACTCCGGTGATTGGAAAGAGCCTTAAATGTTGATTCTTCTATGCAGTCAATTCGAGGAGGGATGGTGCTGGGAAGTCTATAAGCTGCTTTACTGATTCTGAGCTACTGTTTTCCCTCCATACGGAATAAGCTGAGACAAGGGAGCTAATCAGTCCACAGCCCAGTTTTAACTGAGGCTTAAGGATGAGCTGTCTTTGGTAAGCCATTTTACTTCTCAGCATCTGTTATATTTACCCTAGTTTATTTTCTGTTGAGTAAAAATCAGAAACTGCCTCAATTAACATTCAGAATAGCAGGAAATAAAGGGTGAAAAGACAGTGGGAGTGGCTGGTATTCCTGGGGAAATAATGTAAAAGAAGCAAATCGAATCCATTGACAATAGATACCATGCCTTGCACCAGGAAGTGATAGCTGGACAAGTCTAAAAAAAAAAAAAAAAAAAAAAGATAAGCTGTTTTAGGAAAGAGTAAAAAGTCCCACATCCAAACATGATTTTATTTTTCCACATGCATTAATTGACTAGACAGATCTGGTGAAGGCCGGCCCCTTGAGAAGAAAGGGATTGTAATTAGCTAGTGTCTCAACTTTTATGTTCCAAGATTCTCCAAAACAGTTTGTATGCACTATAAAATGATGGACTATTAGTTCTATTAGTTCCATTTAAGTTTGTTTGTAAATACTGGATATTTTTGTGATATGAATTACTCTTTTTATACTTATAGCTGAAATTTTAGTGTAAATCATCCATACTTCTGCTTTATATAAAATCTAAATATTATAATTAATATAATATGAACTAGAACATGATACAGACCCCTTTCATATTAATTACTTATGCTTTTAATCCATTCCTTTCCCTATATATAACCAATTACACTGTCAAAGAGTACATAGTGACTTACAAAATTTGAATGATATATATATATATATATACATATACATATATATATATATATATATGAGTTTGTAAATTAATTACATGAATAGATTTCCTAATGAGATGTCAGCAATTTGCTTGGCTCAGTGGATTAAACATTTTGTTTAATAATAGTTAAAGGTCAAGGTGTGATGGTGTATGCCTATAATCCCAGAACTCAGAGGGGAGGCTGAGGCATGAAATCAGGGCTAGCTTGGGCTACAAAACCAGTGCAAGACCAACCTGAGGTGTATAGTGAGACCCTTTGACAGGATATAAGGACATAACTAAATAAAGAAAGCAAATAAGACATAAAATTGTACCCAGAACTGAGAATTAGTTTCTCCATATTTTTCATGCAAAGATATATTCATATCCAAATTTTATTTCAATTTCTTACATGCCAGTGAAATATCTGAGGCATAAACAGTACGTGCTTTTTGTAGAGATGATGCAACTTACAGTGAAGTTCTAGATGGTACGATTTGCTCCTCATCCACTTCCAAATTATGATAGTTGAATTGCACATTGGCTCATGTTGAGAAGTTTTCACAAGAAAAAGAAATCCATGAAATTTATTTCATTTATTCTAAGAATATTATGAAGAGACTGTTCCTCTTATTGGCAGAATTTTCTTCTGGCTTCTGTACAAGGGGTAGTTGCACACTGATGAGCAACTCTTCTCTCTGTTCCTCTCCATATGACTTTCCTTCTCTCCTTCCATTAACTGTGGGGAAGCTAGACCAGAGTCAGTGATTAATCCCACTGTCTTATAGGAGATTTTCTGCATTCAGTCAGCAAACTGATGTCACTCTTGGTCTATTTTTCTTTTCAGATACTCTCCCTGATATTGTTCCTCAATCTAACCAGCGTTCCTTTAAAGCAGTTTGGAACAAGATTCTGGGTGTAGACTCCATATGGAAATACAAAGCCTGAGATTGCCACTTGCAGTATCACAGGGTGCTGAAGGACAGGGTTCCATTGCCAGGTCATTTCTATTTCTGCTCTACACCTTCCAAAAAAGCTATGCCACACGAGTCATTTCACTTATGACTGGGTTTCCTCAGTCTTACAGGAAGAGCAGAGAAATGTACTCCCTCCTTACATCACTGGAAATATGAGTAAAGCATTTCACAGAATGCTATGTGCCTGGTCCATAACAGTTTCTGCTGTGGGAAATACTGAATGATAGCAGCAGAGGAGCAGCTCTCTGAGGTTCTTAAAATGCCATGTTAAAGAATTTGCAACTTCAGCCCATAGATTTACAGCACAGAGAAGGACAGAAAGAACCAGTCTAGCCATCTATGTAAGCAGGAAACATCCCACAACATCTAAATAAAGACGAGCCTACACGTTCTGGCTCACAAAGCATTTCCTTTGACATCTATTTGTGTAGAATTCTAAAGCCTGTAAATGTCTCCTTAAATCTATTAGCAACTCTTACTTTCCCCATGTCTTTTCATTTTTCCTTGGAATTTTTTTGGTTAAATGCCTTATTTAATATTCAATCAAACATGGTGTCACCTTTAATCCCAGCACTCAGGAGATGGAGGCAGGTAGATCTCTATGAGTTCTAGATCAGACTGATCTACAAAGTGAGGTCTATCTAGAACAGCTGGGATTGTTATACAGAGAACCCCTGCCTCAAAAAACAAAACAAAACAAAACCAAAAACAAAACATTCATACATACATATAATATGTTTGAATCCAATCTACACTTCCAATTTTCCTACCTTTCCCTCCCACCTTCTTCCCCTTCTCCCTCCTCACATGTTCTCTCTCTGGACCTTTCATAGGCATTGAGTCCATTTACTGCTGCCTATATGTGCATAGGTGTGGGGTTTTATTTTCTGGAGCGTGATCAGCCTCTCAGGGCCTGAAAGCCTGAAGAAAGGTGGCTCTCCCTCTCTAAGTAGCTAACAACTGTCAATAGATCCTAACACTGGGTGGGGGCAGACTTTATGAGCTCATCCCCTATCTATGCTTGAGCTTTGTATGGATTACTATTTTGCAGGTTTGTACATGTAGTCCCAGCCATTGTGAGCTCATGTGTCTAACTGCCACAGCCATCAAATACTGTTTCATTGCACACATTCACTCCCTCTGGCTCTTAGATCCTTTCTGCTTCCTCGAATTCCATGATGACCCCTTAGCCGTGGGGACATGGCTGCCCTATTTAAATCTTCAAACTCCACAGTTTCTTTCCTTGTAAGTTGACTGGTGGTTGGTTTGCAACTAATATCACCATCCTAGGCTGACTATTCTTCAGTCAAGAATTCTTCAGTCAAGAATTGTATTTCAAGAATACAAACTGTTCCTACTTTGAATGTATTACACTTAAAATCTGAGCAATTTTTAATATTGTTGGAATTCATTTAAGAACTCAAACGTTGCTTTTGAAAACACAGTTTGGGAAAGGATTGGAATCCAAGAAGGAAGGATGTCCCCCAAGTCAGAAGCCCCATCTTCTAGCTAAGATTTGCTCCTGAATAGTTCTGTAGGCTTCTTCATGAATTCTCCAATTTCAGAAAGTGATGTCCTTGCTCAGTCTGTGTAAAACAATCAAAACAAAATAAATATTACTTGAATGCTGGACATTGTGAAAATACACCATGACTTCATTTCTCCCCCCAACCCGCCCTTTTTATTTAAATTTGAAACAAGGTTGTTTTACATGTCAATTCCAGTTCCCTCATCCTCCCATCCTCCCCTATCACCCTCACCAAACCCTAGCCCATCCTCTTTCTACTCCCCAGGGAGGGTGAGGCCTTCCATGGGGAGTCTTCAAAGTCCATCATATCATTTGGGGTAGGGCCTAGGCCCTCCCTCGTGTGTCTAAGCTGAGAAATGTGTCCTTCTATGTGGGATGGGCTCCCAAAGTCCATTTGTACACTAGGGATAAATACTGATCCATTACTAGAGGCCCCATAGACTGTCCAGTCCTCCTAACACCACTTTCAGGGGCTCTGAGTCAGTCCTATGCTGGTTTCCCAGCTATCAGACTGGGGTGCATGAGCCCCCCCCTTGTTCAGGTCAGCTGATTCTGTGGATTTTTCCAGCCTGCTCTTGACCCCTTTGCTCCTCCCTGTCCACAACTGGATTTCAGAAATTTGGCTCAGTGTTTAGTTGTGGGTATCTGCTTCTGCTTCCATGAGCTACTAGATGAAGGCTCTAGGATGGCATATAAAGTAGTCATCAATCTCATTATCTGGGAATGATATTAAAGGTAGCCTCTCCACTATTGCTTAGATTGTTAGTTGGGTTCATCTTTTTAGATCTCTGGGCATTTCCCAAGTTCTAGATTTCTCCTTAAAACTATAATGGCTCCCTCTATTATGGTATCTCTTTTCTTGCTCTCTTCTATTCTTTTTCTGTCTCAATCTTCCTGTTCCCTCACATCCACCTCTCCCCTCGTCTTCTCCCCTTCTCTTTCACTTAACTCCCTCTCCCCTCCCTCCATGCTCCCAATTTGCTCAGGAATTCTTGTCCCTTCCCCCTTCTCCAGGGGACCATATATGTCTCTCTTACGGTCCTCCTTGTTTCCTCGCTTCTCTGGTAGTGTGAATTGTAGGCTGGTGATCCTTTGCTCTATGTCTAAAATTCATATATGAGTGAGTACATATTGTGTTTGTCTTTTTGTGACTGGGTTACCTCACTCAGGATGGTTTCCTCTAGTTCCATCCATTTGAATGCGAATTTCAGGATTCCATCGTGGTTTTTCTGCTAAGTAGTACTCCATTGTGTAAATGTACCACATTTACCCATCCACTCTTCAGTTCAGGGCAATCTAGGTTGCTTCCGGGTTCTGGTTATTACAAATAATGCTGCTATGAACACAGTTGAACAGATATCCATGTGGTACAGTGAGGTTTCCTGACCTTTTCTTTATCTGAACATCCACCAGGGGGTGCAAAGGCTCAGAAGGAGAAAATGACATGAGGTTGGGTCTGTGTTTACACTGAAACCCTTGTTAAAGGGCTCAAAAGTTGCAATTAACAATGAGGTACTCAGTATTTATAGTTGATGTCAAGTTATGTGGGCTGCCTTAAGTGGAAAAGGAATGAGGCCGAGATTTCCATTTAAAGAAAGACAAAATACTCCATATTCCTAGCCAGCTCAGAGGTCAAGAGTCCAAAACAAGAGTTCCTGTTTTGTTTTGGGTTAGGACAGCATAGCTTAAGTATCATGCTATGTTTTTAAGACTTTTGCAATTATTATGTTAGAATTTTATGACTACAAAAGATATATATATATGTATACATATGTATATATATAATTGTAAAAATATTACACTCTCTCAAATGACATAATTTATATGTGATAATTTATGTTGCTATAAGACCAACTGGGACCCTTACTTGTGGAATGGCTCCTGCTGTACATAGATGGTTTGACTATTTGATCTCTATAGTTATTCACTGTGTATCTGATTATGATCCACAGAAATAATGATGAGCTCATGCCCCTCTGTAAGATGTGCCATTACTTATTTTCAAGTGCTTGCGCTGATATTAGATTTTCCTTTTCTTTGTGGGGGTAGGGTGGAGGTTAATACAGGGCTTCTCTTTGTAGCCCTGGCTGCCCTGGAATGCATTCTGTAGACCAGGCTGGCCTACAGAGATCCACCTGCCTCTGCCTCCCTGAGTGCTGGTATTAAAGATGTATACACCACCACCACCACCCAGCCCTTTAGGATCCCTTTTAATGTTACATTGAGTGTCCATTTTTCTCTTAGCTACTTGTATTTAACTTCTCTAGCCACTACAGGTATCTGAAAATGAAAACAAATCCCAAATCCAAAGCTCAAGAAATCAAAAATAAGTTAAATTCTGCCTTAGTGAAATGTTTTTGTCTTCCATGTTTGACAAAACAACAAGAAAAATCCATGATGTTACTTCAGATATGTCAAACGTGACCTCTGGCATAATGGAACATCTGGTGCACCACCTCCTAGAGGTTGCTGGGAGTACTGCCTCCTGGTGGCCACTGGAAGCATCACCTCCTGGAGGTCTCTGGGAGCACCACTTCCTAGAGGCTGCTGGGAACCATATATGATGAATGCTGTAAAGCTGTAACACTCTCAGATTCACTTCAATACTGCCTGAAGATAGCATGACTAAAAATGACTCTGTCTCAGCTGATCAGACACCATGACAGCATCAATATATTGAAGTCTGAAGGAATTCTCCCTGCATTCAGTGTATCCTGCTTCCCAGAGTAAAGGGGCACTTTGAATTGAGCAACACATGCATGGTCTCACCCTAGAAGTCAGTCCCACAGATTATAAACCCTCCTTAGAGAAGATGAATTATAAAGACTCTACTTTGGACATCTGAAAAAAAAAAAAGGCAGAATGAGAATGGGTTTATGTGTGATTATCTGCCTGAAGCCTTTGACATTTTGACCTTAAAATGTTCCTCACCAAATTCTCCACACTTACAAATATCTGCTTTTAGAATCAACGCTATAGTGATGAAGCTTTCTTTGCACATCCAGTGGTTTTGAATTTGCCTGTCTGTTCAGTGACTTGAATGAAATAAACATAAGGCAAATATTCTGTTATTAGTATATTGGGAACAGATCACATCTGTAAGGGAGTAATCAGATGTGTTGACTATAAAGTTTAAAGCCTCAAAAAGTAGTCTTTGGCTGCCTAGAATTATACACTACTACTTTTTCTTTATTACTAGGTGTGTAAATTATAATGACCAACATCCTGATGTCTGGTATATCTGGTAAGGATTTCTTTTTATAAAACATGTGGTTGTCTATATACACTTGTTCTAGATAATTTTAAACAGCATGTGCAATCACAGCTGAAGGGAAATTTAGGGGTGTGTGAGTCAATAGCTGTAGAAATATCAATATCAATATAGTGTTTGCTAAGTGCCTCTTATGATAAACAATCTATTGTTTTTAAGACTGAATTTATTCTATAGCTACAGTGTGTTAATGTTAAAATAATTGTTCCCTCTTAAAATCTTTCTAAATTATTCTTCCACTTCTGGTTGTAAAACCCACTCAGCATAGCCAAATGTATCTTTAATGAGAGATTCCTCCAGAAAACTTCAAACAGTTCTTATAATTCCCTAAACCATAGCTTCCATATTTCACATTAACAAAATCTGTTAATAAAATACTTAATACCCCAAAGGCAGAGACACTATCTTATCTATCTTGAATCTTTAACTCTAATATCTCAAATATTTGTATTTAAATACTATATAGATATAATGTTGAATTGCAAAAAGAGGGAAAAAGAAAGAAAGGGAAAAGGAAAGGAAGACCTCACTTTTTAGACTAACTCTCTAGTTTTCAAGTAACAGAGTGTAACCAGCTAAGAGCACCAGCCCTCTCTGAAGATCTTCAGGTCCACATGGCAGGGGATTGCTGTAAGAACTCAGCATTTCAGTTTGCTTGCACTTGAGCTTAGCAGAGTATACTTCCCAGGCACTTAACAGAAATGCAAACTTCCAAGTTCTCCACCTCACTTTTCCTTTGTTGTTTTTGATGCCAGGTTCCTACTGTGGATTTTCTTGGTGGTTCTCCTCTGTGGAGTAGTGCTTCTCTGTCTCCGGTGCTGGCTGAAAAGGTGCCGAATTGATCCTCCCAGGCGTACCATGGCTGTTTTTGCTATTGGAGACTTGGATCTCATTCCTGGTGAGTTGTCTGTCCACTTCTGAAGTCCTCTATGAAACCTTGCAAAACTATTATAGCAAAGCAGATTTATACACTTAAAAATTTATACCTACTGGGAGACTCAAAGAGAGACCATACAAGAAGAAAAGAGACAAAAGTAAAGAAATATGCTTCATTAACTTACAGAGTGGCAAAAAAAATCTAAGCAGTTTGATCAACACATGAATTGAAATATGCAGAGATGAACACTTCAAGTGAGTGGTAGGGCTTATAGTTCATATGAGAATCTCTTGGCTTTGATGTCAGTCCACCCTATGCTATAGTTAGATTTTTCTCATTAAGCCTTTCCCAACTCATTTAACTCATCTGTAGTAACATCGAACCATATATTCTGAAGTATCAGTTGCCAATGCAGAATTGGAAACCATTAGACTCTGGCTCAAGGACAATTGTAATGCATTTTCTCTGCATAAACACCAAGGAATCCTGATTCTACCAGCACCCACACTATCTATGCCACATCGTGACCTACCCATCATTTTCTAGTTTTCATTCATGGTTAAAAAAAAAAAAATGTTATTTATAGCTGTCAGTCTTTTCAGTAAGCATAGTGAAATCCATTTATCACTTGATTGTTTCTGAGTGGCTACAACTGATAATCATTTCGTACCCCTTAAGCATTATCTTTTCTCCCAGAGATAGTGAGATTTTTCTCTCACAGATTTTACTTTATCACACAGATACCCAAAGAGTTCTTGATAAAAATTAACTTGGCTGTTTTTCAAAGATGTGAGCCAGTGTGGAATTTTCAATACCTAAAACAGAAAAAGAAACAACTACATTGACAGGGTTAAAGGTAAGCTGAGGAAGTTTAACTTGTACAGGTAGTATTTTTGAAATTCAGTGACTCTTAATTATCTGGGGAGTGTTCAGACACAAAGGGGATATCTGTATCACCCCTCCAATGCTCAAGGAGCATTGAAGAAGAGAGAGACAAAAGATCATCAGGGCCAGAGGCCAAGGAGGACCGGAACAAAACAGTGTCTTTTGAACATAATAGGACCTTTGTACTCATGATCTCACAACAGCCGTGGTTTCCTGCACAAGACCTACACAACACAAGTCAGCCAACATCCCAGCAGGGAGGGAGAGGTATAGGGACCCCATTCCTAGGTGAGGAGCTATTGGCAATTGACAGTCTCTGTGAGGTCATAGAGTAAGTTCTCTTTAAGCGTGTGTCCCCTGATAGGCCATTCATGTTCCAGTGAATGGTCTCTTCCACCGGCAGCACAAATGGAGCTGTAGGTAATTAAAATTAAAAAAGAGGACAAAAAGTTGGAAGTTGGTAGGGAGGTAGATGTGGATCAGGGAATAGATGGGGGGGGTAGGGGTGGAGCTGGGAGTGGGTGGGGAGGTAGGGGTGGAGCTGGGAGTGGGTGGGGAGGTAGGGGGTGGAGCTGGGAGTGGGTGGGGAGGTAGGGGTGGAGCTGGGAGTGGGTGGGGAGGTAGGGGTGGAGCTGGGAGTGGGTGGGGAGGTAGGGGTGGAGCTGGGAGTGGGTGGGGAGGTAGGGGTGGAGCTGGGAGTGGGTGGGGAGGTAGGGGTGGAGCTGGGAGTGGGTGGGGAGGTAGGGGTGGAGCTGGGAGTGGGTGGGGAGGTAGGGGTGGAGCTGGGAGTGGGTGGGGAGGTAGGGGTGGAGCTGGGAGTGGGTGGACAGGTAGGGGTGGAGCTGGGAGTGGGTGGGGAGGAGGGTTGGAGCTGGGAGTAATTTCCAGGAGGAGCTGGAGTAATTGTGGTCATGTACACATTAATGACCTTCTCAATGACTTAACAAAACTATATTGAAAAGGAAAATATTGGGATCTGGAGAGATAGCACAGTGGTTAAGAACACTAGCTGGTCTTCCAGAGGTCTTGAGTTCAATCACCAGCAACTACATAGTGGCTCACAACCATCTGTAATGACATCTCTGGTGCCTTCTTCTGGCCCACAGGTACACATACAGACAGAACACTGTATATATAATACATAATATAAATTCATAAATAAATCTTTAAAAAGAAAAGAAAAATATTAATGATTCTTTTTGTTCATACACTTCCCAGCATTACTTAACAAGGATAGGATACTATCAATTTGAGAAATTGTTGTTTGGGAAAGGATAATTAAATCCTACAATAAAAAGCTAGATCTTTCTCCTAAAAAAAATTGCTTTTCATGTAGCATCAGAGGAATAGGGGTTACTAACCTAGCAAAATATTTGTCAAAGGGATATGCATGGAAATATTGACTTCTTCATTTAAATAGTTAAAAAAATATAATGTTCTTTCTTGAGAGTAAACTTTTACTCCTAAAGAAGAACACACAGCTTTGTTTCCTTGACTCCCCATTCTCTCTGAAGAAAACTCTTCTGCTAGGCTACCTTAACTCTTAAGAAAGTCTCTTGCATTTTAAATACCATCCTACCTGATGATTCTGTTAAGAGTTTTTAAAGACTGATGTTGCAGTCTTGGTTGTGTAATGTTTTTCTATTTGTTGCATGATAGATCACATACCTGTTGTTGAAATTTCCTGTACAGCTTCAGAGTGGGGGGAAAACATTAAATCTAACAAATTGCCTCAATAATCTGCATAGACATCCCTAATATGTGGAACTTAGAATTATGAGCTCTGTATTAGGCTGATGTCATTGTAAACATAAATAAATAAATACCAGACAGAAAATGTGGTCTAAAAAAGCTAATATTTATTTCAGGTCTACCACATCCTAAGTAATAATTTGAGACTTTTCTGATCTTATCACTACTTTGTAAATGTATAAATGTCAACTTTAAAAAGTGCTTATCAGTTCTTTTAGAGAAGAGCTCTCTCTCTTCCTCTCTCTCTTTCTTCTTCTTCTTCTCTCTCTCTCTCTCTCTCTCTCTCTCTCTCTCTCTCTCTTCTTAGTTAATGTATTAGTAGGAAGACTACACAAATTAGGTGTGGCAGCTCATATCCTAGCCAGCTCATGCCATGATACATCTGAACATTCTGGTATTTAAAGACCCATCCCATATGGTAGAGATGCATTCTAGGAACTTAATTCCCATCATTTTCCATCTTTTCCTCCCAAGCCCACTGGTAAAACTTCTGCTTTTTTCTTTTAAAGAAATACTTAAACTCTTGTAATGTCTCTTCTACAACTGTGCATCGTGGAAGACATAGGCTCAATTGCTTCTTCTCAGCTATATTTATCTGGCCTACTCAGAGTGGGCAGAAGGCAGCCTTCCCTTCTTTTGCCCCTCCTCTAGCCTATCTGGAGGTGCTCATCTTCCTGAGGAGGCAGTCTAGGATTCAAATACTAACCTAGATGCATGCTTTTGGCATTTGTGTTTCTCTTTTCGGGAATAAAATACAGGGGAGCATTTTAGACAGTGGCATTTTTTGTCATCCTAAAGAATGCCAATGAGCAATTTCAGGAAGTAAATTCCAGAGAGTTAATATCTGGGGGACAATTTGCATCCTGAACCTACACTGTACTTACATACTAGAAGAGACTTTCATTATATTTTCACAATCTGAACATACCTGTTTTGTTTCAAGTATTTACTCTTCCAGGAAGTGAGAGCCTTCTGTGATCCTGTAGTTCCTGCAAGAATCAGTAAGGAACAAAATGACCATATCTACCTCCACAACTCCTACAAAGGATTTGCTTACAGCCTGAGCCCAAACCTAAGCCAGAGCCTAGACACTGAGTGATTCATGGGACTACTCCAAGGTTATGGGAGTGCAATTTTTAGTTCTCCTATCATCCACTACTAAGAAGAGGAAATCAATAAATAGAAATAATTTGAATAACACTGATGAGAAACTAAAATATAGAATAGGGGTCCTGACTCCCTGCCATCTCTGACACACAGTGGACGTTTCCTCTGCACAAGATATGGGAAGTAAGCCATTGGAAACATCTTAATTGACACAGGACATTTGCTGTATTAACCTTCAGAACCTTTGTTTTATTTCTTCAAAAGTTATTTTACTTTAATATCACTACTTGTCACATATATTAATTGAAATTGCTCTGTTATTCTGACATAAGGGTGAGAGGTTTGACACTCAGAATCTCACAAACATTGCCCTCAAAAACAAAAAGCCAAGGGGAAATTTTAACTGACTATTAAAGGCTGAAATTGACTGAACTTTGTTATTACTAAAATATATAAAATAGGCAAATATATATATATATATGTATACATATATATATACATATATATATATCTTGCCAATATTACATTGCTCAGGTTGCCAATTTATTTGATTAGAAATACTAAAGAGAAAAAACTAGGCACAGGGCTCTGCATCTGTATATATATATATATATATACATATATATATATACATATATCAACTCTGAGCAAGGTTCCTGATACCTCAGTGAAACACTGCAGACCCCAGGAGCTTCCCTTGGTTCAGTGATGGCATCTTTTCACAGCTGACTCAGCACTCGCATAAATGGATCCTACTTGTTTTCTAGCACCTATGCCTTTGCATAAAGTATTCTAGAGTCAGACACATTCCTTTATAGGCACAGGATCCAATAGAAGAGACCTTGACATTTATCACACTCAGTCTTCCCTTTTTCTGTCCATGCTTGCTATATATTCATTATTCACCAGACAGTAAGGGCCTCTTCTTCCTGGATCCACCCACAGACTCAGCTAGGCAGTTTTCATCCCTTCATTATCCTCACTCTACACTACACTGTCTTCCTAGTCGAGTTCTACAATAACCATGTCTGCTACAATATCCATTCAGCCCCATTAGGTCTTCCCAAGTGTGATCAATTGTGAGCTTATCCCTAGCTCCTTCTGTTTCTCCCAGGTTATTTAATCTTTTATTTTTTTCTCATTACTTGAATTAGGCATGAAAGGATAACTTATTTGAACTTTTCGTCAACTTCAGAAGGTTATCTATTATTTTAATAATTTGGGGGAGGGCTCTACTCTAACTGATAACTCAATAGAAAGCAGAGAAGGTTTGCGTCCAGTTCCCTCCCCTTGTACTCCTCCCCCCTTCCAAGAAAATGTGGAGAACGAGAACATGCAGTGAGACTCGGAAATCAATTCTTAAGTGAATCTGTGCAAGTTTTAACTAACCTAAGGGCAGGCAAGAGTTCCGTCAGTTGTGATTATCACATTCCATTATGTAAAGTGAGGACAGCAAAATAGTGAAGAAGACATTGCAGTGATTTCAAAATAGAAAAAACAATTTAGCTTGGTAGATTAATTGTGTTGTTTTAGTTTGTGTTTGAAAAATAATGTCAAGCCTTTTTTTTTTTTTTACAGTGTAGTAATAACAAAAGAATTAATTCACTAAAAATAAGGGTAAGTTGTGGCTTCGTGGAAAGTAAGACGAGAAAGCTGAAAAGCTGAATAGAAGCCCATTTTAATAAGAAGGGAAATAAACAGGAGGTTTATTTGAAGGGAAGTAAACTGGAGGTTTGAGAGGTGGAAGGTAGATGGATAAGTGACCTAGCATTCATTAGAAGAGCGTGTAAGAGACAACTCCACCTTTGTCACACTTTAGTGAACAATCCGGTTACCTATGAAGTGTATGTAGCAGACCTCCTGACCTTATTCCATCTATCACACTTGTCCCTGTTAAGGACTCTGAGTCTCCGCCCTCCAGGAATGCTCACTCTGTCTGATGGCCCAGGTATGCTGCCTTCCAGCTAGGAAGTCTTCTAACACCATCGTTTTCTGCAGCTTCAAGGGTGATTTTCTATTTTTCCTATTTCAGAAAAAAAAAAAAAAATGAACTTCTATTTTTTCCAGCAATAATTAAATGTGAGTGCTCACAGTTTGGAAAAGAAAGGACCAGAGGGATATAAACATGAAGCAAGTCTTTCTTCCTGTAGGTGGCCCAGGATTGTTTTATTATAGGATCTGTTATAGATATTCTCTGTTTATATTCCATGTGTAAATACCTTATGGCATCTCAGGAGGGGAAGAGGGCAGGCTCTTCAACACTTCGTAGAAGGACTGTGCATATGGCTGATGATTCAAAGTTTCCCTTGTTTACAGACCTCAACTCTCACTTGTTCTTCGAAATGGTACCATGGAAAATCTTCCTTTCTCAATACTCTGGGGATGCAGAAAGAAAGGCATTCACAGATGAAGCCACATGCTTAGTGTCTGATAGAACAATGGCTCCTATCCAGGCTTTTTAGCCACCCCTCTACATGAGGAGAGTGAGAGAAAATCAGAGTATGACCAAGTGTGGTGAGTCATACCTGTAATCCCAGCACTCAGGACACTTAAGCAGGAGGACCACACGTTCTGGGGCAGCCGGAACTACATAGGAAGTTCAAAGCCTGCAGGAGGAAAATGGTTAGACTTCCTCCTTACCCACTTCCCAATGCTCCAATGAGGGGTAAGATAAGAAATGAAAGGTGTGGAAAAAGTGTGTTTATGTAAGTCAAATCTGTTGCAATCATTATCAGTGATGTAAAAAATCTGGACTCTAATTATAATTCAGTGATAAATGCATGGGTGTTATAAAATTGGAAAATAAATGGGTCCTTCAACCAACTGTTTTCTGACAAAGCAATAGGTTTTTTTTTCAATGCTTTTAAACTGAGTTAACTTGTTACAAGGTAAACATAATAGAAGACTGGCAAAATGTTATCCACTGGGTAAAGGCATTTGCCATCTGGGTTCAACCCCTGAGAGCCACATGGCAGGAAGGGAGAACTGACCCCCATAAGTTATCTCCTCTGACCCCCATCTGCCCTATAAATGAACAAACAAATAAATCCATTGCTCCACCCACTCCAAACTACATGAAATTGTGCATACACATAGTCTGAAAAATAAGATGGCAAATGATGTCTTCAGTTTCCAAGTTTTCTAAGGTCATTGGTTTAATTAGTTTATCAATAAAACACCTATGGTTTTCAGAACTACCATAAAAGTAACAGGCAAATTTGTAGTAAAGAGATAATATTCCCCACCACAGAGACCAGTTGTCAGGATCATATCATAGGCAACACAATATTGATATCAGCAGGAGAACTAAATTAAAACTAACATAAAAAATCAATGTGTCAAGCCACTGACCAAATATTCCCAGGCAGCAGGCTAAGTTCCTGCTGACTTTGTGCTGACTGCATTAGCAGCAATCTACCAGTTCATTGCACAGGTTCTGAATGGAGGCAACTCCTGACATAAGGGGGCTGTTTAACATCAGCTTGAACCCTGTTTGATGGAGTACCCCAGCTTTGCTGACCTCAGTCCAAGCTTACACACTTCAGAAAGGTTTAGTGATTTTTGTTGTTTCTAATAATGATAATAATTACTTAAATCATTAAAAATTAAAGTAGAATTGATAAGAATGTTACAGATTTAAATTGCTACATGTGCTGTATCCCTGGCTCATTTTAAACATACATGCATTTGGTTTTCCTATGATTTTCTTCATCAGTGTTGGGAGTTAAACCCAGGCCTTCCACAAGCTAATTAAATACCCTACCACATATCTAGACCATTAATGTTGTTTTTACGGAGATAGACACCATAATTATCCTTTTGCTGAAAAAGAGAAAAGTGAACTAAAGGAATGAAATACAATATAATAGCATAGGGGTGGGTGATTCAATTAAAAAAAAAAAACTAAGAAAAAATCCTGGAGCAAAAAGTAAAACATATTCAATACATTACATTTCTGTCTTTCTCATATAATGGTAATTAATAACTGAGGACCAGAAAGATATGAAACAAGGCAAATGCACGAGTGGAAAACATGATGCTAAGTTATCATAACACATTCAGAGTTACCATTTTGATAATGTGTGTATGGATTTCTGAAGTAAGCTAATGCTTACTACTCTGAATCCATTGATAGCTACGGTGTATATATAGTCTTTGCAATTTCAGGATGCTACTCAGTTTAAATCCATTCAGGAAGGTTAGTGAACCTATTCTCTTAGAGGACAGAGAAACAATTTTGACTTTGCAACCCATACAGTTTCTAGAGGGATTAACGACCCTGTCATTGTAATTCAAAAGCAGACATAATCAATATGCAAGTATGTGGGAAGGCTTGTGTTTCAGTTAAAGTTAATACATAAAGTTGTCAAAGTAATTCAGAGTTAGGTAAATATCCAGAAAAAAAAGAATAACTATGCAAAAGCAGATGGTCATAAAATATTACTATGGATTTTTCCAGTGACGCAAAAATAGTCCTTCAAGGAAATACTGATTTCTGAAAGAGACACTGGGAAAAAAATGCAAGGTCTTTCAAGATTACCACTTTGTGGAAACAAATGCTGGTTTAATGGCTGTGTTCTACATAATCTAGATGTTAGAACATAAACTTGAAACTTTATTTTTTTATTTAGAATAGTTTATCTTTATTATGTATGCATTTTTAAGTGCAAAATTGTCACCACATATCTCAACACACTTATTACTTTTTACAAGAAAACACTGAACTATTTGCATTTGTTGTTGTATTTTGAGAACCTCAATATGACACAGTGGAGTTTAGTAATAGTCTAATGTTCCTAGAGAGACTTGGATTTCCTATTAGCAAAACAGCATTAGCAAGAACAGAGTGAAAATTTAGAGGAATCCTCTTTGTGGTCCCAAACAGAATGTTTCTTTCTGGTTTCAGTTGTTACATTGTAAATGCTTCCAGGTGGGTTAGTTGGTAATGGTGTGAGCAGATCATTCTGGGGGAATTTTCTCCTTAGACTGACTCAGCTATCAGTGTGGTGAGAAAGGTGGCTGCAAATGTTTTTCTCAAGGGCACAAATAAATTTCTTTTGCTCCAATGATGCAAGAAAGGCCAGATTCATCTCTTCCATGCACTGTCTGTATGTTCACCTGAATGGTAAATCATACCCCCTGCTTTCTTTTCCAGGTACAGAAATGGCTGGAAGTCCAGCAGCTGGAATCTGCCTTCCTACTCCAAACACTGAACTGTGTCCTACTCCATGTTTTGGTGCGTTAGGTCCTCCACCTCCGTATGAAGAAACTCTAAAAACAACCTGATTGTAGCCAGAATCAATAGTGAAATGTGTTAGAAATATTTGTAAATTCAGACATCTATTTTTAGGCACAATTCTTAGCTTAGTGGAAATTCTTGGAGATCTATTAGAGAGCCTGAACAAGTATAAGCAGACAAGAGTGGATAGAACGAAGACAATTTGGCCACAACGATGTTTGATAGTGAATTAGTGGACTCCTTAGCAATGCCTCACTACACATTTAGACTAGATAATGTTCACATTTTAGCTTATAAGGAGGTAGAAAGATGCTAGGAATCATTTGCGTTCATTTAGCCTCCCACTACCTTCCACAGCATATTGTTTGATGCCCCCACGTCTCCATCTTCTTCCAGCCTCTAATAGAGAGTCAATAAAATTAAATGAATAAATAATTTAGCGATGGCTCAAGCACAGGTTCGGGTGACTACGAAGGAGAATATTGGACTTAAAGCTGAAATGAGAGAGTAGGAAGGAAGTCCTGAATTTGAAATTGACAGAGGAAAACAAATGGAAAAGAAGGGTAAAGATAACAAGTCTCAATACAAGAAGTTTGAGTCCCCAGCTGGAGAAGAAAGAGCATGCACCTAGAAGCAGAAGATTGCTTAAGATGTCAACTGTGGGTAATGATTGATTGGGGAGAGAAAGGGAAAGGGTCTCATTGGTCTCCAGGAATGTAAACTCCAGAGCCCAGTCTCTCCTGGGCCCTCAGGATTTGCATTTTTTGAACTAAATAGGAAGAAAATGCTATAGATGCCTTTTCTGCTGGAAGACTCTGACAGAAGTAGCAACATGAGATTTCCAAGCATCCTTTGGCAGGGACAGAGTCAGGACAAAAAAAAAATCCATGCCATATTGCATATATCTGGATACAGATAGTAAATATTTTTCATTAAATAATTGATGTACCTACTTGTTTATTGCCAAAGTGTTTCCAACCATCCCCTAGCTCAGTCAAGGACTCGTATTACTTCCTATAATTATGTTATCTGAAAATCTTGACCCTGATTTCAGATTCTCCATACACCAATATCTTCCTACCTAGCCCATCTCTGGTAGGAACCACACTATCAGCCCTTGCTGGAGTCCTACAATAGAACTAAACTGCTCCAGTGGCCCTACCTTTGTTCCTGGGTATCCCTTTGTTCCTGGGTATCCTATGGGCAACACAGTAGCCAGGAAACTCTTTCCAAGCTTTAGAATAGTTTCGATTTTCATAAACACTGGAGGAGGTGGAGACATTTCCCTGTAGTCATAGTATTGCATCCTTCATCTGATGGAGCTACACTGACACACCATCACTCAATGTTGCATTGCCCATTCTGGGTGTTTGATGGATTTGCTGTGACACCCAGCACCACCACTGCACAGTCTCACTGTCCTGTGCTCTACTTCCCCAAGTCCTTTCCTCCATTCTAACTGTGGTGATCCTTCTATTGTCTCCTCTACTTTGCCTTTTCCAGTGGAGCATATAAAATAAAACAGATGCAGCATTAGGGGGGCAGAGATTGGCTTCTTAAAGTTTTTAAGGTGTGTATAAGTTTCTTCTGTGTGTTTCCAGTTTCGTCTGTATCTTTCATGACTAGATAGCACATTTCTTTTCAGTGCTGAATGGTATGCTACTATCTGGGAGTGCCAGGGTTTAATCATGCACTCATGGACTTCACATCATGCCTTGATATGAAGAGTAGGCACATGAAGCCTGACCATATCTTTTTTTTTCCCTTTCTTGGGATGTTCTGAAGGCTACCATGTGCTAACCTAGTCCTTTGTGCCTTTACCCTAACTCCACTGCTCATTGACCTTGCCTCTACCATCCCCAAATATTAAAATTGCTGCAACCTCTAACTTTCTTTTGTCTTTTGAAAACTTCCACCCTCTCAATAGGGCCCATTTTAATTATCCTACTTTAGATTAAGTTGCTGCCACTCCCTCCTTTGGCAAATCCCATCCCATTGTTCCAGATACATTTTATTTTTCAATAACATTGCAATTTTACTGCACATCAGTGGATAGATGTGTGTCTTCTGTTGCTAGAATGTCAATTCTTCCACAAAAGGACCATCATTCACTAATATGTATTATGTGTCTAAAACAATTTATTGGGAACTTACTACATATTTTTTAAAAAATTTATAATCCCTATTTTCTGGTTCTAGGAAGTCTCAAAACACAGCTACATGGGCATCTAATAGGCATGGTACCTCATGGGTATGAGCATGGGCAGAAATCAGGTTTGGCTCATCCACTCAGCTGTAAACTAACTCTCTCCTGCATCCAACTGAAAATAGAAGTCTAAAGAAATGTCTCAGTGTGTTGTGATCTGCCTGGAGGATGTGCATGAGTTTGTGCGCTTTGAACTGCCTGTGTTTATGCCATCAGATTTTATGTTCCCTGTTTTCTTATGACCTGACTGTTCCTAACTTCAAGTTGTACATGGTAGAGTGGACAGGCCCTCCTTTCAGAAAGCCATTATGACTGCAGCAAAGGTGTAAAAGGATGCACCTAGTATTTAACTCAGAAGAAAAATAACGGATATGAAAGGACAGAAGAGGGTTGGCCACAGGACAATGGTGCCTGAAAAGACAAAAAAGGGCACAACTGTCCTCAGAGCTGACTAAGGTTTACACCTTGCTCCACTTGTTCAGTGATTTCAGAGAAGAAGTGGAGAGTAAGAAACTCCAAGCTGAAACCACACAGAAGTGCCAAGGCAGGAATGGGGAGCTAGTCCACACGTGATGGGGATTGTTAATTAGTTAACTGTTTAACTAATATAATTAAGGGATGCAGCCTTACAGCCTGCCAGAGCAGAGTCACTGCAGTGAAAACATGCACAGCAGCAGCACACAAAAAGGTTCTCAGAGGTGTGATACAGAAAGAAACAGAAGGCTGGTGTCCATGTGCCAGTGACTGAAAAATGGAAATACGCAAAGTATAAAAGCAATTGTTGAAGCCACAAAAAACATAAGTCGAATTAGCTAGAAGATGATTAAGCTATGACTAATACAAATTACACTGTTTTGAAATGATTAACTAAAAACAACATAACATATTGTTTGTATAAATTAGAATCATGAGTATTTTAAAGTGTATTATAAGTTCCCAAGTGAGGACAGAAAATTACATGTGAAATAAAGTGGCAGGCTATAGCATCAGGCCTAAGCCTGTTCTCAGATGAGAAACAAAATGAGTGCTGAATGAAAGCATTCAAGTAGAGCATCTGTGAAGCCATAGGCATCCAAAACAAAGCACTAAGACTTGAAAAGTGTTGTTTCTAGAAACAGTACTGCAGTGTAATTGTGTGGGGGATAACGCAGAGCAGAGAGCACTGATTTGTTTCCGTCTCCAGTATATAGTGTTATTTGACTTAAACATATGTGCTGCTTTATCTAGACGTTTAATTAAGCAACTGGATTCCTTGGCAGTAATAACTCTCAATTGCAAGCCCACGGAGGAGGTCAGGATGTAAGGAAACAAAAGATGTTAAGTGAGCACAGGAGATGGAACATAGGTAATTTCATCTTTCACACATGCTCCAGGACAGTCTGAGTGTGATTATGCAAATAATTACTTAGTTGAAAATCCTAGGCAGATATGATCCTCTATGCCTGTAAACTGGACACTGGGGAATTGAGATAGGACTACCAACTGAGGGTCTGAGGCCATTCTGCACTACATACCAAGCCTCTGTCTAAAAAGTGAAAAGGGGCAAAAGAAGAAGAGATAAAAGAAAGAAAAGAAAATCTCGGTGCTCTGTTAAGTGTCTGGAGAGAGAGATAGATGTGACACATACTCTAATTTGATTACTGTACATTATACAGGGTCTCAAATACATCCTGAAAGTGTACAATGTGTGTATCAACTACTAATAATACACCAATGGATTATCCCCTAAGCCAGAGAATATGGATAACTATTACATTTATCTTAAGTAAATAACTTGAGGAAAAGAATTCATATCTATATCTTATGAAATCAGAATTTCAAAACAAACTCCATGTGGAAGTCAGGCAATGGTTACAACTGGTACCTAGAAAATGTTAGGAGAATCCAGAGATAAGTGATAATGACTCAGAATGACTCAGCAACTAGATTTTGTCTACAAACAGAGTTGTTATAAGTCATCATGGTCACCTATGTAATGGGGAGTGGGGTGGCAAGAATTCTTTTCAAAATGCACAAAATATTCAATACTTTGTATTTATCACAAAATTAGTCCATTTTGTAAAAGGATCCTATTTGTATTTCATTTTTCTTAGAGTTGCAGTTAGCAAAATGTTATTTAAATGATATTATTTTACCAGAACATAATATTAAAATTTCTAAAAATGCCCTGTATGGAGTTATTTTATATACAATCACAGAGCAAAATTAATTTCAAAGTGAAAGTTTCTTTTGTAACATGTATTCTATTTCCTTTCTCTGTTCTTATCTTAAAAATGAAATCTCTACAGAGTTGACGTTATCAGAATCTGTTCCAAAGCTACTCACACATGTGTGTCAATTCAAGCTTAATCAAAACACATGCCAGGTACATAGTTATCTGGGCTGGAATATTGTTGATTACACACTGTGAGGGTGAAGTGTGAGACTAGAGTATATGCTGGTAGGTTGAGGTCGTATATTTTTCAAGATTTTGTTTTGTTTTGTTTTAAATAAAGATCTCTGAACAAATACCAAAGGTTGCTTTCTTCTGATGTTTAAAAGATACCTGACGTCTTCTCCATGTTAAGCATCAATGTTTCTCCAAATAAGCCTGCAGCAAATGTTACTTCTTGTGCTTAATCATAATAATGGGATTTCAAGAAGCTTCCTCATTTGAACAACACATGATGAGTAGGAATTACTCTAACTGCCATATAGAGACTTGGAAGATCAACAATAGATATTCTCTACAATCCACGGGAAAGCCGTGTTGATTTAATGGTAGTACTGACTTAGATCTCATGGCTATCTTACCCTTAAAACAGATCATTGCTTCACTGTTGTCTTTATTTGATTGCTTGATGCCCTGTTAAAAATTCTATTTCAACTAAATGTCTCAGACTTTAACTTGAATGGGATTATATTTTTAACT